AAGAGTCAATAGAAAATTATCTAAAGACTCTCTATGTTTTGAAATATATATTAAGACCTCAAAATTTAAACTTAAAATGACAAGAGAGGGAGGAAGCTATGATGTATTGGGCATGACATCCATTTCAAGATGAGGACATTCATTCGCATAAAATTTCCCTCTCTATATCTCCTATGGTGCAATTGGCTCTATAATTAATATAAAAGTCATTAATAATTATATAGTTGGTATATACCAACCATATCACCGACAGATTATAGTTAGTATATACGATAAAAGTAGAGGTGAAATTATTTTTATCGATGGACAAAAAAATAAATTTATTGGTAATTCGTAGAGGTGGAATTATTTCTATTGATAGACCAAAAAAAATCCACCGGTAATTCTATTAGTGTTAGCTGATTTTATGGTCGTGTTTCATTCCATTTTGATGAAACCCAGTTACAGATAGAGTAGTGGGAATTAGATCTTTAGATAGTACTGTACAGGTTTTACAAGCTAAAGCTCCAGCTGATTCCAAATCATCCAAAGCAATAGGACCGGCATCTGCATCTGACCTTTTGGCCACCTAATGAACCATCTTACACGAACCATACCTTATCTATAAGATGCTAATTTTAGAGATCACGCTTTTACTGACCATGGAGTGGATCCTTTTAACGCCTTCCTAGCTATACAAGTTTACTTTGTTTAGGATCTGGGATTGTAATGGATCTATGACTAATGCACTTCTTTACGGTTAAGTTAATTTACTTGCAGTTCTTTATGGTTATCATTCTGTCTCGGCCAAACTTGTATAATTAGTTACTGCAATTTGCTAGAAAATCAGTTGATGTCATCATTGGGGGATGTTTTGGCGAGTTTCCAGCTGCTGCATGACCACATCTGTCCCTATCAGCTTTACTGGCAGTCTGTTTGATGTGTGTGATTCCATTAGGATCAGATTGCATATAATGCGACATCTTCAAGTTGACATACTATGGCATATTCAAGGCGGCCCTGGTTCCTGTTCATCAGTACTGTATTTTTCCCGGGATGAGCGAGAGACCCTAAGTGATCAAGTTTTTAAGTTTTGGAATCAAGTGAAATTTAGAAAAATAGACTGATTTGGTTTATCCATATAATAAACGAACTGTATTTGTCTTACAGAATAAGCTTATTTACAAATGATGTTGAGCTGGATGTGAATCTAAACTTTACTCTTGCATATTGTTTCGATTCGACAATTATGTAAGATTTAATTAAGTTGCCATAAAATATACTTCAATCTTTTTATTATTATTATTATTATTATTAAAAAACCCATCAACATCCAAAAAACAAAAAAGGGAAATCAAAGGGACTCTTTTGGGTTTTTCCATTTTGAGATATCGCTAGCAAACCAACAAAGAAAAGATAAGATGGGATCCATGGACAAATTTACTTCTTTCTTCTTTTTTTTATTATTTTAATAATGTTTTATTTTATTATTCATTTTAAATTTTAAATTTTAAATTTTTAATCACCATCCGGAATATAAAGCCTAAGTGTAATTTTAGAAATAATATTATATTTCAGCAAAACATTCGTTAACCAAATTGGTGAATCAATAATTTTTTTTTTCATTTCTATGAAACTTTGGAAAAGTTTTCTCTGTTATTGATCTCCTGGAAAGACTCCAATGTTGCAGGATAACAATACCTCCTTTTATTACGACGCCACTGTATATATATAAGCAGGGCTCTCTTTGGGCCAATGGTTGCTCTTCTATTCCCTGAATATCCCATGCTTTCTTGTTTGAGCTATAATGCTCGAGGAGGATGTCTTTAGAACTTTTACCAAATTGGTCCGAACCAAGAGTTCTCGGAATGCACTGCTGAGACCCCAACTCCCTAGCAACTATTGGTGGATCATAACTGATATACCCGATGATTCCATGCAAAAGAACCCATGGATATTTCCCACAATAAGGCTTTGATCTCAATATCCAAATTGCTCTCCAGCTGAAAATAGTTATGGCACTGTATCAATTTCATTGAAAGAGAAACATTCTATATGAAGGGTCCCAAAAACACAGAAGAGCCTTGATGGTTGTCTTTTGTAGCGGTACTTCCATTAATGAAGCTATACT